TATCTACTTTTTCTGTCGAAAGAAGGTCAAAAATGAAGGGTCAACAACGATAATTTGGAAGACTGTCAGAAAATATCTCTGGATACACCCCCTGTACTTTGTATATTTTTGACAAAAGTGAAAACTTGATTATACCATAAATACAGGTATATCCTAAAACATATTAATACTGATATAAACTATATTGTTCATACATATATTACATTGTATTAGTATTGTGTATACATGTGACTGGGATAAATGTGTACAGTGAATGTGATGGATTAATCTTAATACTGGTATATATCGCCTATGGTCATAATGTTTTATGTGAAAAAAGATGTATTTTTGTGGAAATAAACATTTCTTTGTATTTTATGAGCAAATTGTTTGACAAAAGCTTTATGTTAGGAGGAGGCGTGTTAATCTGATTGCATTCAGCGAGAATTCATGCAGAATTGGATCGATATTCATAGAGCGACAGGCAGAATGCATAACTATTGTACCCATGGACTAACCAGTCCGCGGATCAAATATGGTGCCACTCACTTAGAAGCAAGCCGAGATTGAATTATTGCTCTGCCCCTGATGGAATGGTGCGCGAAAGAGGCGGAAATCCATTGTAAATAGTCAGCGGATCAGCTGTTTGTGAATCCGGTCATAGTTTCATTAAAACGAGTCCTAGTTGAGAGTTGGTGTGAGGAGTCTGCCTGGAGAAACGGTTGCGCGTGCCAGTTGTTTACATCACACCAAGACACGACGTTGTACTTAATTCACTATCAAATAACAATTACGCTTCTTTATATGTTTTCCATAACCTTGAGATAAGAGTCCTACTGGTACGATGACGCAATAAAACTTGGAAAATGTTAGTCTATACGTGACAGTAATTTTATCTTCATTGATATCACTATCGCAATACTAAGAGTAGTATCTACTTCAGTGTGAGCACGTATTTCTATTGCGGTCATTAGAGTCACCATGGTACATAGTATTTAATCAACGTGATAGTATTAAGTCTGATTACTTAAAAGAAATATAACAATTTAAACCACACTTTTAAACGAATTCGTCACAGTTTGAGTTAAAGATATCGGTTTTGTCATTTTTGCTTTCTACCGTAGTATACAGAAGTGTTGATTTGGTACTGACGAGGAAAAGAGAAAATAAAACACAAAAATACCAATGGTTCACTGACGGAAATTGTTTATTATGTAGGGGGTTTGTTAAGAAACTTTGTTTAATTCATATGGAGTTTACGAGATAATTACTATTACCCGAGAAAACAAAACAAGTGTGGCAACGCAAGATTAGAGTTCAAATCACCAAAATAATTCCATCTTACCATCTTCCCAGTTTTATCAAAATCTTCTCTATCTACGCAAGGAGTTCTTTACAACTTCTTGACCTGCGGATCGGTCTTCCTGAGGCCCTAGTAGAAATTATTTTGCCATTTTTTGCATTTGTCTCCCGCATGAAACAAACACGCAACCTTGATAGTTAAATGAATGCGCCGAAGTTAAAAGTCATTGAATCAGGCGTCTTAGCAGCAGCATATAAAAGCGGCTTTGAATACAAAAGTTTTTTTTATCTTTGAGAACAATAGGCCATTTCAAGGCTCGAGAAAACCCGAAGGAATAGAAACTACAAAAATGAAGCCTGTATGTGCGGTGAGTGAAGAGTTAAAGAGTATAAATAATCAATGATAATTTTTTTCAGGTAGGACATAGATACTAGAATTTCAGCCTTGTCTTTTTCCTTGTTCTAATATTCAGCTTGTCAGATGGCATATTTCAAATTTTGACATATTTTTGTGGTATGAGGGAAGGTTGGTGTACCTGTGGCGATGGTGATCCACAGGAAGACCTACATGTGTTTGTATTATATTCAATTCTTCTCTCTCTCTCTCTCTCTCTCTCTCTCTGTTTGTGTGTGTGCGTGTTTGTGCGTGTGCGTTTACGCGGGGGTTCATGCATTGTTCAAACTGGTTTCATACGAAAGCAAGTTGGATACCTTTTATCACCGCAAATATACGATCAAATCTTAATAAGTGAACATCGTCCAGTTTGAAAAGAATATATAAGACCAGTCCCTTTTTATATGGGCGTTAGTGCTAAAAGATCTGCGGGTAATGCTAGTAAACGCCAAATTCGTTTATGAGGCCTGAAAATAGACTGTTTTGAGCAACGGACTAATATAATATACCACATAGAAATTTGATTGTGAAAATGCGCAGAACACTGATTCGCTGGTAGTTCTAGAAACACATGCACAATAGTAAAATGAATGGTATGTTTTGATCTCATCATTTGGCTATTATCTATCTCTTTAGACTTTAAGCTTTATTTTTCATTTATTTACTTATTGTTGCAGGTAATGCTGTTGATTCTCCTTTTTGCAACCTGTGAGGAAGCGCTTGGAGCAAGTGAGCATTACACAGATTAGACAGATAGATTTTGTATCTGAGATTAGAAACTTTTAGACATTTTGGCCTTTTGAAACGAAATTTTATTCACTTTAAAAGAAAATACAATTTGTGAGCATTCAGAGACAAAATTAATAGGCTTTTTACGTCATACTGTTTTTCTTCTTTAACTAACTGGTTCCCTAGATTAGTCATATAATTTTCATTAAAATAACTTAATTCAGGATATTGAGACCTAGCCTACACAAAAGAAATTGAAAAATGAAAATAAAACAATTAATACAGTACTAGGATGACTCATGACAATCCGGAAACATATTTGCAATTGTGATCCTAATTATTTTATTGTATTTACTATATGCTAGTGCGTTGTCCTGATGTGGCGGGGGATGGTTCCTGTGAGCCGACCTCAGACACCTGCAGTACAGATGCTGACTGCCCTGACAAACAAATGTGCTGCTCCAATGGATGTGACCGTCTGTGCATGGTACCCATACGTTGTTAAGGAAAGGGGAGATCGTAGCAGTGAAGGCGCTGATATACTGATAAAAATATATCTATAAACTATTCCTACCATGACGTAACTTTCGAACAGAGAGGATAGCACTATAGTGCCACGTGACAAGTGACATGTAATTAAACATTGTAATAAAAGTAAAAGCAACTACAGTGTCAAACTGGTGTCAAAATTCATACAGAATCCTGTTTAATGCAAAGATAAAAAAGAGGGATAGGTGGGGAAATCGTTCAGACCAAGCGAATTCCCTTAATTTGATCTGGCGTTTGGACACGATAAATAATGATAATAAATTTAAAGCGTAAATGGCATCGGCGATAGAGTTAAAGTACGCACAAAAAACTCAATCAATTATGTTTTAATGGAATACTAATATTCCGCACCAATGTATCCGTCTTTAACAACAAATCACAGTCATTTTAGTTATGTGGTCTACTAAATGTAAAACGTTGAAATAATAAAGGTCTATAAAGCTGCTCTTGAGTTCAATATTAAAATTTTGGACGACCTCGTCCAATATTGTCAGCTTTCATCTCAATTACTTCCCTTTTTTCCCGAGTATTTTTTTTCATTGCTTCCCAAGTATTTTAATGTCAGGTGTAACAAAACTGAGGGTACAGGTGACAGAAAGTCCGCCCTCCATTTAGTTGTAATGGTTAGGGTTAGCCTGACCTAAGTGGGTCAAAATCTAAGGCGAGGCTTACCTGTACATATGAAAGGGAAGCGGACTCTTTGTCATGGGAGACTCTGTCACGCTACACCGGCAATTGCAAGTAACTCAAAATCGTGGGAGAAACACGAGTTTTATAGGTAAAATATAGATTCGGTCGTTCAAAGGACGCACAAGGGACGCAGACGACTTTACAATGAGATGTGACTTAATTGCTTTGGCGACCTTCTAAGTTGGCGACCGAAATCAACGTCTACTTTGTCCTTTTACGCAACCTGGGAATCAAAGCATCTAGTACGAGTGTGATGAGGTAATAAAAATGCAAATTGTCACTCTATACGTGACAAGGATTTTCAGTCCTTGTTGATATCTTACGCCCAAATATTTCAGCATCAGAGCTAATTTGGCATATGGTCAAAAGGCAGAGATGTACTATGAATGTGTGTAAACGACAAAATTTTTAATAGTGAATGACTTGTAAATCTTAAAATAATAGTCGATTAAGGAGACGAAAATAAAAAACCACGAAAATTCAAAGTTTCACATGCAGAACCTACTCATCATATAGGAATTTAATTGACAAATAGGCAATTTATTTGTGTGAGGAATGTGGAAGATAAGTGCTATTAGCTGTAAAAACAGAACACGAGTGTTACAACGCAAGATAGGCGTTCGAATTCATCGAAATAATTGGTGGGTCAAGGTTACAAGATTTATTACAATCACCTCTACCTACGTCATTTGGGTCGTTCTTTCTATGCCAGGCGTGAACTTAGCCTTAGTAGAGCTTAATTTGACTATATTTGCATTATATTGACAGCCTTAATGTCCTCAGGTTATACACCATCTAGTGATACGTGTATCTGCTATCAACATTTAAAAGTGCGATTAACGAAAGGAAAACGTTTTTTACGTATGTAAAAAAAAAGAGGACTTAAAAGACTTTAGAACACCGAGACGAAAAGCAACTACTGTACAGAAATGAAGCCTATTATTGCGGTAAGTGATCAGATACAAGAATATAGATAGTCCCTTCAGTCCGAGACACAATGTATCCAGAAAAGAAGAAAAATAAGGTAGAATCCTTTAATTTAGAAGCCTTAAATTTATCTAAGGGTGGAGGGTAGTATCCCCCCGCGAAAATTTGTCTCAGTCAACGTTCACTTGCGGCTCTCAATCCATCTAGAACATTTGGTGCATCTTTTAACAGTTCTAATGTTGTTCTGTAATGTAACAGTTCGAGAACTGTTTTTGGGAAGTCCTTCAGGATGTCCTAGAACAGATTAAGAATATTTTTCATTAAAAGAGAAAAACATTATGTTCTAGGGCAGGTTGAGAATCGTAAGTGAGCGTTAAAGATACCATAAGAGCAATAATTAAGAAATGGAAGACGGTGGGATCCCAAGTTGGGATGTTGTAACCAATCCCAAAATTATGCAGTGCCCTTCTTCTGTAGTGTGTGTGTGTGTGTGTGTGTGTGTGTGTGTTCGGGCGTGTGCATGCACGCACGTGTTCAAGCAATGTACAAGCGGTTTTAACACGAAAGCAAGTTGGGCATATTCCTCATGCTGCCACACTGCTCTGATCTCCACGAGAAGCCATATGGGGATACACGTATACACAAGCGTGTAAACAAGCGATGAGAATATACCGGTATTCACGATGCGAAGGAAGAACATCCATGTAACTTGCAGCATGGTTTTAAAGTTAATTAAGGTACATGTTAAATTTTTGCCTGTGGTATGAGAAATGGGTGGTGATCCACCTTGAGATCCACATCGGGTACCGTAAGCCTTCTTAACACTGCATGGACAGCGTCCTTTCCATGTCTGCGTCCCTTCTACGATCAAAAATGTGAACAGGACGTTCAATGGTCGCCAAAGCAATTTAAACGCGTCTCTGTGTAAGAAAAATTAAGTGTATGGAACATAAAACTTCCAAGTGTTTTGAGCGGAATTGACCGGTCTGCTTCATGGACTGACCAACTTGGCATGGTCACCATGGCTGTCACCAGTCCTTGACTCTTTTGTGTGTGTGTGTGTGTGTGTGTGTGAGTGTGTGTGTGTGTGTTTTGTACGTGTGTCTGTGTGCGTGTACTTGTGTTTGTGTATGTATGTATGTGTGTGTGCATGTGTGTACGTGTGTCTGTGTGTGTGTGTGTGAATGTGTGTGTGCTTGTGTATGTGTGTGCATGTGTGTGTGGTACATGTGTGTGTGTGCATGTGTGCACACCTGTGTGTGCATGTGTGTGTGTGTGTTTAGACAGGGGTTCAGGCACTGTTCAACTGGGATTCAGTTAAAAACAAGCTGAGCAGCTACAGCAACTTCAACTATCCGGTCAAATTTTAATGATTCAACATTCTCGAGTTTGAATTTAGGAATAGTGCCATTTTTTGATAAATTTAACAAGATAGGGATATTCGAATGTTGAAAAAAAGATTGAGTATTCTACATGTCTTCCCCTGTAAAGGCACATCAGTCAAAATCAGTACGTAAACAATATGTGTAAGATGCATGAGGTGCATGATTTGTTTCGTATTTTAAACATTTTCGCTTTATTTTTCGTTTTCAACTTAATCTCATGAAGGCTAGTCATTGACATGTGCCTGTAATTCGAAAGCCGCACCTGTTGATTCCAGGCATTGCGCAATATTACCAGCATGTTTGGCGTTAAGCCACACTGATTAAATTTTATGGATGACATCTGCCCGCGCATTAATTTTCGCTTGTTCTCAAAATTAATCACCCCTTTGAAACTCCGGAACTGACTGCTGTCACGTCTTTGGCCACTCAAAATGCAGCAAAAGTCTGGGTTGTTGCAAAACTCGTCTTCTACCTCAAAACCTGATAAACGGAACTTTCTGCACATGCGTATTGCCACTAAACGTGGTCATGTTGTTGTCGTATAAATACATAAGCATAAAAGACGAGGCGAAGATTGGTATGCAATCGAAATTTTTTTATGGTCAAAATGCACAAAAAGATTAATGGTAGCTTTGGCACCATATCCACAAACTGTAAGTGCACAGTTTTTTATAATAATTATTACCATTTAATTTATATTAATTCATTTATCATTATTTATTTATGCATTTATTCTGTTTTTATTGCAGGCAGTGTTGTTGGTTCTCCTTTTTGCAACCCATAAGGAAACCATTGCAGAATGTGAGCATTTCAGAGATAATTAAAACGATCAGATTTTGCTTAACGAAAATTACGAAACGTTCACACATTCAGATGTTTCTTGCAACTACGTTTTATGTATTTTAAACGAAAATGACACAAGTCTGTGAAGCGCGTTTAGAAACGAATGAAATTAAAACATTATCTGTCAATTTGTATGTATATCAAAATATATGTCAATGGTTTACTCCCAACATCGGTAATATGATTAATTGAATTATGTATTTGCTTTCCCAGGGTGTTGTCCTGATCCGCCATTTTTTGGCTTTTGTTGGGAGGGCTGCACCGCGGATAGTAATTGCACTGGGATACAACTGTGCTGCTCAAATGGATGTGGTCACCTGTGCATGGATCCCGTCGATTGTTAAGGAATGGGGAAGTGACACGAGTGAAGACGCTGACACAGTTAGAAATAATGTTGCCTTAACTATTTCTACATCATGGCGTCACCTATTTCTATTTCATGACGTCACATGCGAAAGTAGATTGTGTTGAATCAAAGGGGTTAAGTCAATAGCTACTTGAAAGGGAGACCACCGACATCATTTTGTCAAAACTGAAGTAGATTGGTTAATGTAAATCATATGTATTGCACATTCTATGCTTAAAACTTTTAAGCCTATTAATAGTGAAATAAATCGAAACTTGTGATTTATTGCATCGGCCTATGACTGCGATAGCAGGTAACGAAATTGTTCGGACAAAACTAATTTTATCATTTGATCTGGACAACGCATTAGAAAACAGCATTTTCATTAAATTGTTAAAGCAATGACGACATTAGACAATTTTTGTTTAAAGAGAAGAAACGCGATCAAAATACTGGACTGGCTACGCAACAAGATTCGATGAAAATATTCTGTGAAATGGCTGAATGCAACACCGTATCGTTTATGTACTTCCAATATTTCAATTCTATCTTTTATATCTACCTTTTATATTGTGAACAAGAGGAAGCAGAGAAGTGATGAATAAATATGGGCTTTATGGTTAAACAATATCTTCAGACTTTTTGTATTTTTAATCCTCTCCTACCAAGAAGACAAAATCGGTTAATTTTTCAATTCTGGTTGATATGTATGCAGCATTATTCAGCGTGAGAGCTATTTTTTATGTTACCATATAAGTACATGTGTATCCAATCAACGTAATTAAAAATTATAAACAATCTGTATATTTTAAGAGAAAAACGAGATTATTACAAAATCAACACTTTAAAAAATCGACTTACTTTGAAAGTCAGAAGTGATTCAATAAACACTGGAAAGCATGGGAATATGGTCCTTTACCCCAGAAAATTCCGTTTAATGTCTCTTTTCCGCCGAAACAAAGAATTGTCATCCCTTTAATATGACGCTCTGCATCAAATAAACATGCAGTCTCAGTGCTGCCATCTAGTGATACGGGTATCTTCCAGCAGCATTAAATAGCGCCGTTCACGAAAGGACAACGTTATTTGCGTTTGGGGACAAGAGGTCTTAAAGGACTCTAGAACACCAGGACGAAAAGCAAATACAGTAATGAAGCCTATAATTGCGGTAAGTGATCACGCGGTTACAAGAATATACAGTGGACAATAGGCCTAACTTTAGTCCAAGAATACCATACATCCAGAGACGAAGAAAAAAATTAGATAGAAGCTTATGTATTAGCTGTAGAGGGATTTTGAAAATATGAAAAAGATACATTTGCAATTGGAAACTCTATATGTGGAACTGTTTATAAACATTTTTTTTTTTTTTTTTTTTTTTGCCGCATCCATTTGTTAATAACCAAGGGGGATATGAATTTTTTCCTCGCTGTCCGGACTTGTGTTTTCCACGTATTTGAACGCTGATTATTATTGTCACAAAGAGAACCTGGTTCAGGTTTTGTTTATTTGGTATCCATGTTCTAATATTCAGCTAGTTCAGTGGTTCCTATATATTTCAAATTTTGACACATACTTGTGGTATGAGCGGAGGTTGCCCTAAGCAAAATGGAAAGGTTGGTATTCCGGTTTGCGTTGATATCAAATACCTTAAGTTCAATGTGAACTAGAAGACGGTGGTCCGTTAGAGGACGATGTGACCACATTGGGATGTTGTCACCAGGCCCAAAAACTTATGCAGTGTGTGTGTGTGTGTATGTTTGTGTACATGTGTGTGTGTGTTTGGACGGAGGTTCGGAAACTGTCCAAAAAAGCTGAGCAACCATTACCATTTTAACTATCCGGTCAAATTTTAATAAGTCGACATTGTCAAATTTAAAATAAATGTGTTTTTAAGATTTTTCTATTTTTAAAATACCACAAACAAGGTGAATCTTGAAAAATAGGTCTTCGCGTGTCTGCCCTTATAAGGTCACATCAGTCAACGCTTCAGTAACATTGTATGTAAGCTGACATTTTTGGTTGCTGCAATACCCGCATCGCGTCATCATAGATTATGTAACATAGTACATAATGTGTTTCTTTGAAATAGTGGATGTTTTTTGGCATTTTAAACATTTACCCCTTTTTACACCTAATTTCATTAAAGTGAGTGATCGTATTTGAAAGCAGCACCGCTTTGACACGTAGTCAATAGTGAAGGAGTGCCCAACGTTATCCTAGATCGCTAGATTAACATTGCATTCACACTGTGACAGTACTAATAACTGTCCGTTGACATAATGTGCATTTTTATGATTTTTTCATTGTAAAGACAGCCCCGTCGGTACCATGACAGCGTGGATTAAACTGCATTCTTTGTCAGTCGGTATTGACCCCGCTTAGTCACTATGTGAGGTTTTTGGACTCTTTAAAAGACCCCATTCCAATAAACACCGTCAGTCTAAGTGGATCGACCCAACTCTGGAGGGAATCTCGTTAATTGCAATACGCTTAACTGAATGACACGCTTTCTCTTGTTTTCAACGCACTATTACCAAGGAGTTATAACAGTTAAACTCCTTGCTATTACCAACTTTTCTGTATCTCACATGTACGTGTATATACTTAAAGCTAGGAGGAGTCGTATCATTCAGTTAAGCTAACTGCAATCAGCGAGAGTCCCTGCAGAGTTGGGTCGATTCACGTAGACCGATGATGTCTATTGGAATGGAGCTTTGCTGCGGTGCACGATTATTGATAGCTATTACCTTAAGGCCAGGATATACCGGATTCTATTTTTATTTTAGACTTTACGACTCACTATAAACAGGATCGGAATCATATTTTTTTTCAAACAAATGACATTTAACGTGCAATGCAGCTACATTTTTTTCTGTTTGTCTTTTTTGAATACTTTTTAAATTTTATTTTAAAGAGGAGAAAATGTCAATGCCAAATTTTGAGCATAAAAGCAAGAGAGTTTTTTTGTGCTTAACTGTAATTTCTCACACTCACCACAGCAGGACTAAATGCATTTTTCTATTTGATAAAAGAAAAATACGACCAATGCAAATTTCTGATTTTCTCAAAGTCAATGTCGATCGCAATTTTCATAATTGTCTGGTCTCAGTTCCGCTGCATTGTGAAATTTTAGATTTTACTTTTTTTGTCCTGTCAACTGTAGATTAGATCTTACTACTTGCGAAAATTTTGTATACCATGTCATCAAAATGGAAAGTTATATCCACCATAGAAATTTGACAGTCAAATTGTGCAGAATACTAGTGTAAACTGGTGGTTGCCTTGGCAACACATCCACACACCGGAATTGGGTGTATAATTAATGAGCTTTGTCTACATTATTAATCTCTGAAATCATTTGTCATGATTTTCTTTTGATAAATTTATTTTGCAGGTAATGTTGTTGGTTCTTCTTTTTGCAACCTGTGAGGAAGGCCTCGGAGCAAGTAAGCATTTCAAAGATTTAACCTTTTTTTTTTTGACAAAAATTTAAATCGTTCAGGCATATAAAGCTTTTATTTATTTCTTTTAGCACTATTCACAAACGGATTAAACCTAAACGGATATACTGTTTAAAGTAACTTTATCTTTTTTTCCTACTGCCTCTCTGTCACTCACTTGTGCCTACATTGCTTGCTATCCATCTATTTATTTATTTATCTAGTAATTTATTTGATGTAGTTGGATGTAAAGTCCATGATCTGTGCCTTAAATGCGAAGGTATTTATCTATACAGAAGTCATATGCGTTCAATTGAGTGCATTGAATAATCCCATAAAAATATATTTGTATACTTTATAGAGTGCTGCCCCGAGGTGAGCGGATTTGGTACCTGTGTGGAGGACTGCGATAATTGCGCTAAGAATGAAATGTGCTGCTCAAATGGATGTGGTCACGTGTGCATGAAACCCGTCAATTGTTAAGGCATGGGGAGGTGACACGAGTGAAGCCGCTGACACAAAGAAAAAAAATTATAACTGCATCAACTATGTCCACCATGACGTCACTTTCGAAAAGAGAATTATTATTCGAACTCGAAAACGCCTTTTGAAACAATATTTTCATTAAATTGATAAAGCAGGGACCACACTGGAAAATTTTATTAAAAGGGCAAAATCACGATCAAATAACCGGAAGCTTCTAACTGGCTACCCGACAAGATTCCATTATAAGATTATGTAAAATGGCTGAATGCAACATCGCTTTCATCTAATATATATTATGCGCTTAATACTGGTACTTCCAATATTTCAGATTTTCCTTTCTACCTTTGAGATTGTGCACAAGAGGTAGCAGAGAAAAAATAAAATAAATATGGGCTATTTGGTTCAAAAATATTATCTTCATGCATTTTGTATTTTTAATCATCTTCTACCAATAAGACAAAATTGACTAAATTTATTAAGAGAGATTATTCGGCGTAGATCCTAGACACTTAATCCGTAATTGCGTTTTAGTACTGTAATTCAGCACCACAGAAATATTAAACAAAGCAGCAAATGGACATGCTTGAAAAAGTCAGAACTGAAAATAATACAAAATGATACAATAAAATTCTTCACTGATCAGCCTACACTGCCACAGATTAAAATATGAAGGCTAAATATCAGTGATATTTTCAAAACAGGTCTTGAACATACTAGCAAATCAAACATGAGAAAAATCAGATTAAATCAAGTGCGCAAAATATTTTAAAAAGACTGGTATTAAACAGATCCAGGTAATAAATATGAGAAACAATAAATGTCTAGAAAAAATACAAGAGAGCTTCAAGAAAAACAGCCACTTAACTTGGATTTTAGAGTCATGTCTGTATTTTATTTTCATTTATATGCCCATAAAAAGACTGTAGATTCAAAGCTTTCATGTGATAGAAGCTACATGTATATATTTAATAAGAGAGGTTTATTGCGGTTTTGAAGTATGAGATGAAAATCCCAAGTTCGGTGCCATTTTTACCCACCTAATATAAATGTTGCAAAGTCTAAATGGGGCGGGCACACCTTCTATCGGGGTAACTGCATAACTACTAAACGTTTGAAAAATGATGGTCTAAAAAAGGAAAAGTATCAAAATACATCATGCAAGGTGATTAAATCGGCCCAGTCCCGTTTTTCCGGTTGTTCCCTTGTCTCTGTTTAGATAAAACAAAGAACGATTGCGTGTCCAATGTTGTAGATTTTACTTATTTACTCGCATAAATCATTCGCGGGTTTAATGTCCTTTTTATTTTCTCTGGAGTTAAGGAGTCTCTTGGCACGAGGGGGAAATGGAAGATGCTATTTGAAGATATAAAATGATGGCCGAGGCGGAGAAAACGCAAATCACAAAAATGCAATCCGTTTACTGGCGGAAATTATTTGTTTTACATATCATCAAAAATGATTCAGCGTTTAAGTGTGTTTATTTTTGCGAGACTTCTGGAGAATACTATAGGTATGTGCTTGTAGACGTGTTTGTGAAGACAAAACATAATGTGACAACGCAAGCTTATATCGATCAAATCACAAAAGCTTCAATTTACCAAGTTTTACTGACCCCGTAATTTGTCAGTGTAGGCCTACATTTACGTGTAAACACATTGTGGTTTTCTAAATAATTTTCGTGTTTGACATTCATGATCATTTATCAGTTTTTTAGAGGAAGTAAGAAAATAAAAATAACAATATATCAATGGCGATTTCGTATAAATAAGAAAACAGGGCGCCAAGTGGATATAGGGCCTCTCACACGCCTCCCCACACGTCGTCCCTGCGGGGGTACAGTCATTAAATCTCGGCTCCGTTCGCCATGCGGAAGCTACCTGAGAAATATTAAGTGCGCATGCTCATCAATTAAACTCGAGGTGAAGAAAGCATGGCGGCTGGAGGCGATCGAAGGAAAAAAGCTCTTCTGTTCTATTATCTTTCAAAACAGAGACGAAAAAGGATTGAATTGGCCCGTAGAGCAGCAATGAATCGACTATCTACGGAGATAATATCACCAGAGATATTCACGGAGATATTCACGGAGATACCCAGCCCCGAGATTTAATGACTGTACCCCCGCAGGGACGACGTGTGGGGAGGCGTGTGAGAGGCCCTATATCCACTTGGCGCCCTGTTTTCTTATTTATACGAAATCGCCATTGATATATTGTTATTTTTATTTTCTTACTTCCTCTAAAAAACTGATAAATGATCATGAATGTCAAACACGAAAATTATTTAGAAAACCACAATGTGTTTACACGTAAATGTAGGCCTACACTGACAAATTACGGGGTCAGTAAAACTTGGTAAATTGAAGCTTTTGTGATTTGATCGATATAAGCTTGCGTTGTCACATTATGTTTTGTCTTCACAAACACGTCTACAAGCACATACCTATAGTATTCTCCAGAAGTCTCGCAAAAATAAACACACTTAAACGCTGAATCATTTTTGATGATATGTAAAACAAATAATTTCCGCCAGTAAACGGATTGCATTTTTGTGATTTGCGTTTTCTCCGCCTCGGCCATCATTTTATATCTTCAAATAGCATCTTCCATTTCCCCCTCGTGCCAAGAGACTCCTTAACTCCAGAGAAAATAAAAAGGACATTAAACCCGCGAATGATTTATGCGAGTAAATAAGTAAAATCTACAACATTGGACACGCAATCGTTCTTTGTTTTATCTAAACAGAGACAAGGGAACAACCGGAAAAACGGGACTGGGCCGATTTAATCACCTTGCATGATGTATTTTGATACTTTTCCTTTTTTAGACCATCATTTTTCAAACGTTTAGTAGTTATGCAGTTACCCCGATAGAAGGTGTGCCCGCCCCATTTAGACTTTGCAACATTTATATTAGGTGGGTAAAAATGGCACCGAACTTGGGATTTTCATCTCATACTTCAAAACCGCAATAAACCTCTCTTATTAAATATATACATGTAGCTTCTATCACATGAAAGCTTTGAATCTACAGTCTTTTTATGGGCATATAAATGAAAATAAAATACAGACATGACTCTAAAATCCAAGTTAAGTGGCTGTTTTTCTTGAAGCTCTCTTGTATTTTTTCTAGACATTTATTGTTTCTCATATTTATTACCTGGATCTGTTTAATACCAGTCTTTTTAAAATATTTTGCGCACTTGATTTAATCTGATTTTTCTCATGTTTGATTTGCTAGTATGTTCAAGACCTGTTTTGAAAATATCACTGATATTTAGCCTTCATATTTTAATCTGTGGCAGTGTAGGCTGATCAGTGAAGAATTTTATTGTATCATTTTGTATTATTTTCAGTTCTGACTTTTTCAAGCATGTCCATTTGCTGCTTTGTTTAATATTTCTGTGGTGCTGAATTACAGTACTAAAACGCAATTACGGATTAAGTGTCTAGGATCTACGCCGAATAATCTCTCTTAATAAATTTAGTCAATTTTGTCTTATTGGTAGAAGATGATTAAAAATACAAAATGCATGAAGATAATATTTTTGAACCAAATAGCCCATATTTATTTTATTTTTTCTCTGCTACCTCTTGTGCACAATCTCAAAGGTAGAAAGGAAAATCTGAAATATTGGAAGTACCAGTATTAAGCGCATAATATATATTAGATGAAAGCGATGTTGCATTCAGCCATTTTACATAATCTTATAATGGAATCTTGTCGGGTAGCCAGTTAGAAGCTTCCGGTTATTTGATCGTGATTTTGCCCTTTTAATAAAATTTTCCAGTGTGGTCCCTGCTTTATCAATTTAATGAAAATATTGTTTCAAAAGGCGTTTTCGAGTTCGAATAATAATTCTCTTTTCGAAAGTGACGTCATGGTGGACATAGTTGATGCAGTTATAATTTTTTTTCTTTGTGTCAGCGGCTTCACTCGTGTCACCTCCCCATGCCTTAACAATTGACGGGTTTCATGCACACGTGACCACATCCATTTGAGCAGCACATTTCATTCTTAGCGCAATTATCGCAGTCCTCCACACAGGTACCAAATCCGCTCACCTCGGGGCAGCACTCTATAAAGTATACAAATATATTTTTATGGGATTATTCAATGCACTCAATTGAACGCATATGACTTCTGTATAGATAAATACCTTCGCATTTAAGGCACAGATCATGGACTTTACATCCAACTACATCAAATAAATTACTAGATAAATAAATAAATAGATGGATAGCAAGCAATGTAGGCACAAGTGAGTGACAGAGAGGCAGTAGGAAAAAAAGATAAAGTTACTTTAAACAGTATATCCGTTTAGGTTTAATCCGTTTGTGAATAGTGCTAAAAGAAATAAATAAAAGCTTTATATGCCTGAACGATTTAAATTTTTGTCAAAAAAAAAAAGGTTAAATCTTTGAAATGCTTACTTGCTCCGAGGCCTTCCTCACAGGTTGCAAAAAGAAGAACCAACAACATTACCTGCAAAATAAATTTATCAAAAGAAAATCATGACAAATGATTTCAGAGATTAATAATGTAGACAAAGCTCATTAATTATACACCCAATTCCGGTGTGTGGATGTGTTGCCAAGGCAACCACCAGTTTACACTAGTATTCTGCACAATTTGACTGTCAAATTTCTATGGTGGATATAACTTTCCATTTTGATGACATGGTATACAAAATTTTCGCAAGTAGTAAGATCTAATCTACAGTTGACAGGACAAAAAAAGTAAAATCTAAAATTTCACAATGCAGCGGAACTGAGACCAGACAATTATGAAAATTGCGATCGACATTGACTTTGAGAAAATCAGAAATTTGCATTGGTCGTATTTTTCTTTTATCAAATAGAAAAATGCATTTAGTCCTGCTGTGGTGAGTGTGAGAAATTACAGTTAAGCACAAAAAAACTCTCTTGCTTTTATGCTCAAAATTTGGCATTGACATTTTCTCCTCTTTAAAATAAAATTTAAAAAGTATTCAAAAAAGACAAACAGAAAAAAATGTAGCTGCATTGCACGTTAAATGTCATTTGTTTGAAAAAAAATATGATTCCGATCCTGTTTATAGTGAGTCGTAAAGTCTAAAATAAAAATAGAATCCGGTATATCCTGGCCTTAAGGTAATAGCTATCAATAATCGTGCACCGCAGCAAAGCTCCATTCCAATAGACATCATCGGTCTACGTGAATCGACCCAACTCTGCAGGGACTCTCGCTGATTGCAGTTAGCTTAACTGAATGATACGACTCCTCCTAGCTTTAAGTATATACACGTACATGTGAGATACAGAAAAGTTGGTAATAGCAAGGAGTTTAACTGTTATAACTCCTTGGTAATAGTGCGTTGAAAACAAGAGAAAGCGTGTCATTCAGTTAAGCGTATTGCAATTAACGAGATTCCCTCCAGAGTTGGGTCGATCCACTTAGACTGACGGTGTTTATTGGAATGGGGTCTTTTAAAGAGTCCAAAAACCTCACATAGTGACTAAGCGGGGTCAATACCGACTGACAAAGAATGCAGTTTAATCCACGCTGTCATGGTACCGACGGGGCTGTCTTTACAATGAAAAAATCATAAAAATGCACATTATGTCAACGGACAGTTATTAGTACTGTCACAGTGTGAATGCAATGTTAATCTAGCGATCTAGGATAACGTTGGGCACTCCTTCACTATTGACTACGTGTCAAAGCGGTGCTGCTTTCAAATACGATCACTCACTTTAATGAAATTAGGTGTAAAAAGGGGTAAATGTTTAAAATGCCAAAAAACATCCACTATTTCAAAGAAACACATTATGTACTATGTTACATAATCTATGATGACGCGATGCGGGTATTGCAGCAACCAAAAATGTCAGCTTACATACAATGTTACTGAAGCGTTGACTGATGTGACCTTATAAGGGCAGACACGCGAAGACCTATTTTTCAAGATTCACCTTGTTTGTGGTATTTTAAAAATAGAAAAATCTTAAAAACACATTTATTTTAAATTTGACAATGTCGACTTATTAAAATTTGACCGGATAGTTAAAATGGTAATGGTTGCTCAGCTTTTTTGGACAGTTTCCGAACCTCCGTCCAAACACACACACACATGTACACAAACATACACACACACACACACTGCATAAGTTTTTGGGCCTGGTGACAACATCCCAATGTGGTCACATCGTCCTCTAACGGACCACCGTCTTCTAGTTCACATTGAACTTAAGGTATTTGATATCAACGCAAACCGGAATACCAACCTTTCCATTTTGCTTAGGGCAACCTCCGCTCATACCACAAGTATGTGTCAAAATTTGAAATATATAGGAACCACTGAACTAGCTGAATATTAGAACATGGATACCAAATAAACAAAACCTGAACCAGGTTCTCTTTGTGACAATAATAATCAGCGTTCAAATACGTGGAAAACACAAGTCCGGACAGCGAGGAAAAAATTCATATCCCCCTTGGTTATTAACAAATGGATGCGGCAAAAAAAAAAAAAAAAAAAAAAATGTTTATAAACAGTTCCACATATAGAGTTTCCAATTGCAAATGTATCTTTTTCATATTTTCAAAATCCCTCTACAGCTAATACATAAGCTTCTATCTAATTTTTTTCTTCGTCTCTGGATGTATGGTATTCTTGGACTAAAGTTAGGCCTATTGTCCACTGTATATTCTTGTAACCGCGTGATCACTTACCGCAATTATAGGCTTCATTACTGTATTTGCTTTTCGTCCTGGTGTTCTAGAGTCCTTTAAGACCTCTTGTCCCCAAACGCAAATAACGTTGTCCTTTCGTGAACGGCGCTATTTAATGCTGCTGGAAGATACCCGTATCACTAGATGGCAGCACTGAGACTGCATGTTTATTTGATGCAGAGCGTCATATTAAAGGGATGACAATTCTTTGTTTCGGCGGAAAAGAGACATTAAACGGAATTTTCTGGGGTAAAGGACCATATTCCCATGCTTTCCAGTGTTTATTGAATCACTTCTGACTTTCAAAGTAAGTCGATTTTTTAAAGTGTTGATTTTGTAATAATCTCGTTTTTCTCTTAAAATATACAGATTGTTTATAATTTTTAATTACGTTGATTGGATACACATGTACTTATATGGTAACATAAAAAATAGCTCTCACGCTGAATAATGCTGCATACATATCAACCAGAATTGAAAAATTAACCGATTTTGTCTTCTTGGTAGGAGAGGATTAAAAATACAAAAAGTCTGAAGATATTGTTTAACCATAAAGCCCATATTTATTCATCACTTCTCTGCTTCCTCTTGTTCACAATATAAAAGGTAGATATAAAAGATAGAATTGAAATATTGGAAGTACATAAACGATACGGTGTTGCATTCAGCCATTTCACAGAATATTTTCATCGAATCTTGTTGCGTAGCCAGTCCAGTATTTTGATCGCGTTTCTTCTCTTTAAACAAAAATTGTCTAATGTCGTCATTGCTTTAACAATTTAATGAAAATGCTGTTTTCTAATGCGTTGTCCAGATCAAATGATAAAATTAGTTTTGTCCGAACAATTTCGTTACCTGCTATCGCAGTCATAGGCCGATGCAATAAATCACAAGTTTCGATTTATTTCACTATTAATAGGCTTAAAAGTTTTAAGCATAGAATGTGCAATACATATGATTTACATTAACCAATCTACTTCAGTTTTGACAAAATGATGTCGGTGGTCTCCCTTTCAAGTAGCTATTGACTTAACCCCTTTGATTCAACACAATCTACTTTCGCATGTGACGTCATGAAATAGAAATAGGTGACGCCATGATGTAGAAATAGTTAAGGCAACATTATTTCTAACTGTGTCAGCGTCTTCACTCGTGTCACTTCCCCATTCCTTAACAATCGACGGGATCCATGCACAGGTGACCACATCCATTTGAGCAGCACAGTTGTATCCCAGTGCAATTACTATCCGCGGTGCAGCCCTCCCAACAAAAGCCAAAAAATGGCGGATCAGGACAACACCCTGGGAAAGCAAATACATAATTCAATTAATCATATTACCGATGTTGGGAGTAAACCATTGACATATATTTTGATATACATACAAATTGACAGATAATGTTTTAATTTCATTCGTTTCTAAACGCGCTTCACAGACTTGTGTCATTTTCGTTTAAAATACATAAAACGTAGTTGCAAGAAACATCTGAATGTGTGAACGTTTCGTAATTTTCGTTAAGCAAAATCTGATCGTTTTAATTATCTCTGAAATGCTCACATTCTGCAATGGTTTCCTTATGGGTTGCAAAAAGGAGAACCAACAACACTGCCTGCAATAAAAACAGAATAAATGCATAAATAAATAATGATAAATGAATTAATATAAATTAAATGGTAATAATTATTATAAAAAACTGTGCACTTACAGTTTGTGGATATGGTGCCAAAGCTACCATTAATCTTTTTGTGCATTTTGACCATAAAAAAATTTCGATTGCATACCAATCTTCGCCTCGTCTTTTATGCTTATGTATTTATACGACAACAACATGACCACGTTTAGTGGCAATACGCATGTGCAGAAAGTTCCGTTTATCAGGTTTTGAGGTAGAAGACGAGTTTTGCAACAACCCAGACTTTTGCTGCATTTTGAGTGGCCAAAGACGTGACAGCAGTCAGTTCCGGAGTTTCAAAGGGGTGATTAATTTTGAGAACAAGCGAAAATTAATGCGCGGGCAGATGTCATCCATAAAATTTAATCAGTGTGGCTTAACGCCAAACATGCTGGTAATATTGCGCAATGCCTGGAATCAACAGGTGCGGCTTTCGAATTACAGGCACATGTCAATGACTAGCCTTCATGAGATTAAGT